TGAGAAGAATGCCTGGTTGTGTACAAGAAAAATCCCAATATGCTAACGTAATACGTTTCGATGCCACGCGTGGAATTGCGTCCTCGCCGCAAAAGCGCCACCTACATGAAGCGACGAGAAGCAGAACTCCAGTCAGAAGCTCTGAGGAAGCTTCAGGTGTCTGATGGACATCGAAACGTAAGTTAGGTAGGGATACCTGGTTGTGTATACGAACATCCCAATATCCTATGTTCCACCAACCTGAGGAAATTATTTCCGGGTATAAATATATGATGATAAATATATTACATATACTTTATTAGGACTCTTCACCAGCTTAGTTAGTTGGCGTGCTGTGATACACAAAGATATACAAAACATAATACTCATAAATCAAGGCATCCAAACTATAAATGACGTCATCCTCATCTGTCCCTTATTAATCAGTATGGTTGACAGATATCCTGTCGTTTTTCTCTATCCTACTTATTCGAGCGTATACGCATCCAACATACTTGAATGTAGTTTCTCAAATTATGGAAAAAGAAAACCTCTTGCTGAATAATACATCTGTATATATACATGTATATCTGTATTTCCGTAGACGTAACCGTTCATAAGTTTTATCTACAATGACTGATACACAGTACTGGAGCTTAATTGGCTCCTAAAGAGGAAAGCTGGTGGTGATGATGTAATCGTTCCGTGTTTGTTTCTTTCAAATAATCTTTGTGTCAGACACCGTCAATGCCTGCCTGTCCTCCCCATGCGTACACGGAACCTGTACTGACGGCGCGGCCGCGGGGAGTTACACCTGTAGCTGTGAGAACGGATGGACAGGGAACAACTGTGATCAAAGTTAGTGCCATAATTCATATCTCCTCTAAAAAGATGTCCAAGGAAATTCTAACATTTATATTTTACACATTTTTATTTATTGATCTTGACATTCTTTTTTTTCGCAGACATTGACGACTGCTTGTCCTCCTCATGCTGTGAGAACGGCTGGACAGGGAACAACTGCGATCAGGGTTAGTGAATGTGCCACACAAAACTGCACCAACTTACAATGTCTATCGGGTAAGCAAACCATGATCATTGATATGATTAGTGCTATACGACTTCGTTTGCAGAAAACGCATTATCGGCGCGGTAGCCTGTATGGTTATATGTTCCGGCTGATAACCCAGTGCAGATGATGTAAAATGCCACCCCCTTGACTGCTACTTGACCGGGAGGGGAACAGTCGGTGTTACCATGGTTAAGTTATGGTGTACTTTTGTTTTACATGCCCATCCTGCCATAGGACTTGCACGTCAAGGATCAGTTACGTGCACATGAGGGCTGGTATATAGAGGCTAACCTTCCTAGAATTTTTTATTTAATTGGACACGAAGAAAAAGCCATCATTTTTATTTTTATTTTAACCCCTCAGCTGTCCGGGACCCGACCGTTCTAGACAAGAATCCGGTAAGAAATAACCAAATGTTGCTATTTATTTGCTTTCCAGTGTCTTTTGGCGGACAATGCTACCAGTTTTCGTCCACCGCTCTGTCCCACCAAGACTCGGCACTCGCCTGCAGCGCCAATGGCGGCCGCTTGGTGGACGTGATGGACCACGAGCAGCAAAGTTTCCTCGCTGATAAGATGGCGGCCTCTTCTGGCAATTCCAACTGGCTCGCCATGAAAACTGCACCGACAGAAATTCTCAACAGCGACGGAACTCCGGTTTCAGGTATAGTGTCGCCTTGTCACAAAATGGACAGCTTAGAAACTTAGAAACATAGGTTAACTTAGAAACATCGGTTAAATGACTTGTGCACTTGTAAACCTAGTGCTAGCAATCAAACGCTGCCATCTGAGGTAAGGAAGAAATACAATGTAGATTTGCTGAGTATGTAGATGTGGATTGCCCTGGTAAAGTATATGCTAACATTGAGACAAATGTACAGTCTATGCAGTATCCATGGGATTTTGTCAGTCTCACGGCAGGGCTAGTGTTGAGAAGAAACAGGACCTTGTACTAGGAGTTGATTTTACTCTAAACGTATGATCGTGCCATTTCAGGGCAACTTCAATGGTCTTCCAGTGAACCTTCCGAACCGTGTGACCTGTGTGTTCTCCTGGACAGCTCCGACAACTATCTGGCCAAGACAGCACCGTGCACGGAGCAGCACAACTACGTCTGTCAGGACGGTGAGTCAAATTTCTTTGAGCTAGCAAAAAGTAAGGACCTGTTTTTTCTATTAAAAAAACCCCACCAGGTCATTACACTTTTTACTTAAAAACTAGATCGCGATGCTTTGTGTTCTTCATTGTCTGAAAAAAAAAAGAGTACTGTACAGTATCTTTAACATTTGATAATTCTAAAGCTTCTAAGACTAGTGTGAGGAAAGACACACGTACCTCAAGTACGCGTTTCATATCAAAAGTCCTCACTGTAGTTCAAACTTTACAGCCCGGTCTCAAGTTGACATCTTGAAAATTAGTTGTGTCAATCCTTCCACATATGCGGTACATCTGAATTAATTCTAGCTCAGGTATCCTGTGACCCTAACGTGTGTCAGAACGGCGGAAACTGCACCTCCTGCTTCAACGGGTCTGCCACCTTCTGCCGGTGTCCTGATGGGTTCGAGGGCGATTTCTGTGAAATAAGTGAGTACAAGTGAAAATCCATCTTTCTATATCCCAACGAATTTCAAATCTGCTGGAATTGTAACTGTATATAGGCTTGCCTGTGTAGAATTTATATTGACACCCTCCAAAGGCACATGTCACATAGCGAGCAAATTATAACCTATTGAGGCCCAACTGAGACATATTCCTTTGCCATTGCAATAGACATCGACGAGTGCGCCTCCAATCCGTGCCAAAATGGCGGAACCTGCCAGGACGGCATCAACTCCTACAGCTGCAGCTGCCCAACCGGGTTCCATGGAGACCACTGCGAGTTCGGTTCGTATCGTGCTCCTTTTTATCAGTACATTAGTACGATGGTCAGATGGCATTGCCGCCAATGTTCTGATGAGCAGAGCTCTAGCTATAGAAATCTAAGCTAACTTTGCTACCCTGTGGTCCACAATCTCTCGCTGACAGGGGCTGATTCGGCCTTCTCCGGCCCGAGACCTTGTGGCTTTATCACTAGCATAATTAGTCCAATAGGAGCTCAGGATTGGTTGTCACTATGGAAACCACTCATCACAGCCTCCAACACGATGGCACTAAACAATCAGTCTGACAATAGTTGGTCCATGCTTTGTAGCACATAATCAACAGGATTACGATGTTCCCAATTCTCCTGGATTAGAGGTGTTGGACGTCAAGCTTCGAGGGACCTGCCCAGTAGAAGGGCTGCTAGAAGCGTGATGCTGTCAGGCCACTAATTTTTCCTGTATTTTATGCTTTTTTAAAGACACGGACTGGTGCGATCATCCTGAGGTCCAGTGTCCGTTCGGCTGGTCCTGCCGGGATGACATTTCCTCCTTCGAATGTTACGGTAAGTGGCACTTCAGCTACAATATGGCTGTCGTATATTCTCTAAGCATTGATGCTTTGGTCGGGGTGGGGGGAGTGGTCGATTTCATGCATTGTGGAGGGAGGCAAATTAAAAATACCTCGGTCACTTCGTACTGCCACCCAAATATGGGGGCCCGCAAGCCCTTTTCCGTAGAGCGTAATCGGCAATTTTACTTCTACGTAGAGCGTAGACGGACCGCTCTAATTCAACGTAGAGCGTAATTGGTGCATTTTGCGTAGAGCGTATTCGCCGTTTTAATTCTACGTAATGCGTTTTAGCCACTTGGAATTCACCGTAAAGCGTAATCGAGAGCTCTAGCGTAGAGCGTTGTCGGGACCCCCATGCAGGCCCCCAAATATGCCTCTGCTTGAAAAACATGTGCTGAGTTTTTGCTTTCTTTTCTTGCCAACATCATTTGATAAAATAATCTTTACCAACCGTGACAAAATCTTACATGACCATCTACATCTAGATCCGAACCCCATCGTCCGAAGGAGCGCCTACTCGTGCAGCAGCGCCTCCTGTCCGGTGGGCATGTACTGCAGGGAGAAGGGCGCGGCATCTTTCTCCTGCAGCGCGGAGTGACGTCAGAGCCGGGCCCTTCCAGGCGCCACAAGCGGCCCGAGGCTGACACGCGTCTTACGACAGCGTTCCAACACTGACTTTAATCAGTGATAATAAACCAATAAAAATTCTTCAGTTTGTTGTCATAATGTTAATACTGTGATCAGAAATGGTCCCTGGGAATACATTTGATAACAGGTGTTGTTGGCCCATTCCCTGGCCTAGGGCACTGGTCTGAGCTTATTGGTGGGGTCCATATTACTGAGACAAAAGGAAGAAAAACAGAGGAAAAAGTAAGAATTTAATGATTGCTGAGTGATGCCTTGGCTCTCTCCATTCTTATTGATGGTTATTTTGTGAACATTATATTGCAAGAAAATGACTGAATTACCCACATACCAATTGCAATAGTCATTGCAGTCAAAGGTTTCTTGACTTATGCTGCCCAAAGCTGGCCAGACACATCCCCCCCCACACACACACACATACACACAAACAACAATGCCTTGTTCGCTCATCTTACATGTATAACAGCTTGAATACAATGTATAATTAAAAAAAAAATCACTATAATGCCTCAAATAACTCATTCACATGTAGTTGTAATAAACACAAAACAACCCAAGTACAGGTACTCACTGAGATCCATGTTTATTCAAGAGAAGATAGATATAAATATAAACTGCAATTAAGGTGTTCCACCCCCTCCAATAACAAATATTATACAACTTTTACATTCAGTTTATTGTATCTTATTCACATATGTTTAATGGGCATTGAAAAATATGCTAATAATATAATATATATCCCCAATAAAACAAAATAAGAACAAAGACAACACAAGTGACCTGATATTTACACAGCATACAAAATGTAACATCCAAATCCAGTTGAAATAAGGAATCTGACTGTGAATATATCAACAACATATTACACACAAGGCTGACGATGCAATATATACATGTACAAACTTTAACCTCACGTGCAGTGTGAATAAAGTTGAAAACAACATTGAAAGTTCTAAAATAATCACACATGAGCTTGACAGACACTAAAATAAGCAGCCTGACAACCAGGCTATCCATCTAACTATAGTATCTATCTATCTATCTATAATATCTATCTATCTATAGTATCTATCTATCTATCTATAGTATCTACATGTATCTATCTACCTATCTCTCTCTGTCTCTCTCTGTCTCTCTCTCTCTCTATATATATATATATATATATATACATACATACATACATACATCAGTCACAAATATGATATACATGTACCTGTATACAGTATCATCATCATCATTCCAGGGTGTTGTCACTCCTGTGGAGGAACCCCTACCTTGACTGACTCCAGTCTCTCTTGATCTGGCAGTTCTTGACCATGTAAAATTTCAGGTGTTGAACTATAGGTTGTCTCTCCATCTCATACAGGGTCATCCTGTACAGTATATACATATATGTTTACAGGTTTTTTTCTAGAAAAATTTAGCATGAGGGAGCAGATCACTACATGTAGCATGGCAAGGGAGCATTTAGCACATTTTTACAAGAGTAACACAGTTTGTAATGCTAGAATTATGACATTTTCTTTTTCTATTTTCACTGGAAAAAGTCAATTTGAGGAAGACTTAATGTTGTGTAACTATGTAGCCACTTAGGGTTCAATCTGAAAATTGATATGAGAGAGCTGGCTGGTTGTATGAGGGAGCAGCGCCCTTATTCCCCAGTTAAATAGAAAAAACCCTGTGTTTATATTTAGTATATCTAAAAAATCTCAAATGTTGACACAGGATCGCGATGATTTCTATTCAGCTTGGTTGCTCCCGGGTTCCCGCCTGTGGTCCTGAGTTGTGTTCCACCTCCTCTGTACTAGACTGTCCCTACTATTACAGGGTCGTCCTGTACAGTATATACATTATACAATGTATACAATGTTTTAACCAAAAAATCTCAAATAATGACACAGGACCGTGATGTTCTCTGCTCAGGTTCTGCCTGCGGTCAGACAGAGTTGTGTCCCATCTCCTCCACACCAGGCTCCTGACCGTGTAACATCTGTGCCCATAATATCACCAGGGTCCATAATATCGCCACCTTGGCTTGAGAAACAGTGTGCTTAAAGATATTTTACTGCAACATACTTTTGGTATGCACTCCTTCACACATCAAATGTACATACCTAGGATATGTTGCAGTAAAAATATCTTTAAGCACACTATTTCTCAACGTGGTGATATTATGGACTATGGTGATATTATGGACACAGATGTTGCAGTACATACATTAAACATTTGTACATAATCATCTAAAAGTTTCAAATAATGACGCAGGACCGTGATGATTTCTGCTCATGTTCTGCCTGTGGTCCTGAGTTTTGTTCCATCTCCTCCACACCAGGCTTCTGACCGTTATACATTTGTACATAAAAAGGTCTCCCGTGCTCTATGCAGAGCATAGGGGTGGTGCCCATGTCCATTTCCGTAGCCCTTGGGCGACACACAGTTGTGCAGGGCACTACAGCAGGGGGCTGGTCCGCTGGTACTGCTGTGTGTTTGACCTTCCCACACTCTTTCTTATATGTGCTGAGTGCTAAGCAGAGAAAGAAGTGTGTACCATTTGTAAAGTCTTTGGTATGACCCGGCCGGTGTTTGAACTCACGACCTCCCGGTTACAAAGCGAGCACTCAAGTGACCAATTGAGCTATTGCACCGGTTGCATTTGTACATAATCTATCTAAAAATCTCAAATAATGACACAGGACCTTGATGTTCTCTGCTCAGGTTCTGCCTGCGGTCGGACAGAGTTGTGTCCCATCTCCTCCACACCAGGTTCCTGACCGTGTAACATCCGTGTCCATAATATCACCAGGGTCCATAATATCACCAGGGTCCATAATATCACCACCTTGAGAAATAGTGTCCTTAAAGATATTTTTACTGCAACATACTTTTGGTATGCACTCCTTCACACATCAAATGTACATACCTAGGATATGTTGCAGTGAAAATATCTTTAAGCACACTTTTTCTCAAGGTGGTGATATTATGGACTATGGTGATATTATGGACACAGATGTTGCAGTACATACATTATACATTTGTACATAATCTATCTAAAAATCTCAAATAATCACACAGGACCGTGATGTTCTCTGCTCAGGTTCTGCCTGTGGTCCTGAGTTTTGTTCCATCTCCTCCACACCAGGTTCCTGACCGTGTAACATCTGTGTCCATAATATCATCAGGGTCCATAATATCGCCACCTTGAGAAATAGTGTGCTTAAAGATATTTTTACTGCAACATACTTTTGGTATGCCACTCCTTCACACATCAAATGTACATACCTAGGATATGTTGCAGTAAAAATATCTTTTAGCACACTATTTCTCAAGGTGGCGATATTATGGACCCTGGTGATATTATGGACACAGATGTTGCAGTACATACATTATACATTTGTAAATAATCATCTAAAAATCTCAAATAATGACGCAGGACCGTGATGACTTCTGCTCAGGTTCTGCCTGTGGTCCTGAGTTTTGTTCCATCTGCTCCACACCAGGTTTCTGACCGTTTTGTACATAAAAAGGTCTACCCGTGCTCTATGCAGAGCATAGGGTTTTTGTGCCCATGTCCATTTCCGTAGCCCTTGGGCGACACACAGTTGTGCAGGGCACTACAGCAGGGGGCTAGTCCGCTGGTACTGCTGTGTGTTTGACCTTCCCACACAAAGTCTCATATGTGCTGAGTGCTAATTAGCAGAGAAAGAAGTGTGTACCATTTGTAAAGTCTTTGGTATGACCCGGCCGGGGTTTGAACTCACGACCTCCCGGTTACAAAGCGAGCACTCAAGTGACCAATTGAGCTATTGCACCGGTTGCATTTGTACATAATCTATCTAAAAATCTCAAATAATGACACAGGACCGTGAAGATTTCTGCTCAGGTTCTGCCTGCGGTCCTGAGTTTTGTTCCACCTCCTCCACACCAGGTTCCTGGGTTGCCGTGGCAACTCCCGCCCGTTTTCTGGGCCTCCCCGTCGGCCGGATCTTTTGCTGGATCCTGCTGAGAATCTCCTGCTGTTTGTTTGCGATGGAAGCGTGAAGCACCCCTCCCCCGTGTCCCCCTCCCTCACCTGGAGTTAAGGGAATATAGAGTAAAGTTAGAATCTACATTGTAAAGGTTTAAGTGTGTTTGAGTCCCTAGCACTCCTGGCCCTCATATGTTACTTGATGATGGAAACTTGTGTGGTGGGTTCTTAAATATGCGTGGGGTACCGTGTGGCTCTCCTCAAAGAGGGGACCTCATTTAACGTCCTATCCGAGGGACGTCCCTAACCGAAGCTAGATACTCATTTCCACCTGATTGAAGTGAGGAAAGTCATGTATATAAAGTGCCTTTCCCAAGGGCACAAGACCGGTGACATGGGACCTCTTGGTCCTGAGCCGAACACTCTACCGTTATGCCACATGACCCCACTATATAGAGTTCAAGTTAGCGATAACTCACAGGTTAAGTCGATGTAGAGGTGTCCAGCCAAGATAGGTCCCATGCTGCCACGGGGCGGCCAGTCCACCGGCTGAAAGATGATGGGTATCAGCGGCTTCCCAAGGTCGTTCGCAAGGTTGACCTCCATGCTGCAGTTCTTGGAGGCGATGTACTTCGGCGTCAGGCAGGACACAACCACCTGGGAGGACACGAAATAAAATAACAGTTTCAGCTCAAATGGAATTAAAGATTAAATCTCCTCGTACAGCACATCCCCTCCCCATCTGTAACCATGGTAACCGCCTTCTACCTTAGCCTCCCTCATCCCCGTGTCGATCTCCTCGTACAGAGCGTCCCCTCCTCCCATCTGTCCGATGTCCATCCAGCAGGGGTACCCGGCCTCCTCCAGCCGGTCTCGAAGCTGGACCACGTCTGACTGGATGTCCCACTGGTAGCTGATGAACACCACAGGCTCTATGTACGATTCTCCTGGGGGATAAAACAGAAAAAAACTAAAAGTTAAGTGTTTGAATCTTTTAGTCTTTATAAATTTCAGTCCCACTGCATGGTAGCTGATGAACACAACTGGCTCAATGTAATATTCTTCTGGGGAACAACACCATATGGGAGAAACATTTAGTGATAATGTTTATCATAATTTGAATGTTCTGGTCAGCATGCACGAACAAACCTTTTGGGAACCAAAAATTAAAGATATAAAAGTTCACTGTTTGAATCCCTCTGTCAGTATAACTTGCAGTCCCACTGGTGACTCATACAGACCACAGATTGAATGTACAAACCCTCTCTGGGACAACATGGAAGAAATAAAGGTTCAGAGTTTGGGTCTCTCTGGTTCCACTGGTGCAAATAATTGGCTGCACATATACAAAAACCTGATTTTGGGAACCAAATGGAACAAACACAGGTTCACAGCAAGTTCGAATCTTCTGGTCTGACACTAGTGAAAATCACTGGTTGCACGTACAAACCCTACTCTGACTACAGCACAAAGTGGAGAACATTTAAGGTTCACAGTTCTTCAGGTCCAACTGGTGAAAGTTCTGGGTTGAAAACTAAATAACCTGAGTCCGATTCCTCCTGTTTTTGAGTCCCCTGATCCGGTGGCTCCTGCACAATTTGTCCTGCTGGTTTCTTCTTCTTCCTCTTCCTTTTCTTCTGAGCAGCTTTCACTTGGGCTGGCGTCTTACTCTCAACAACAGTATCATCTATGGGCTCTGAAAACAAAATATAATGTGATTTGTAATTATATTTCCTTCGATTACCTGAAATGCCAGAAATATAAAATAATTCATGTAGCAAACAAATCAAAGAATGATGACCTCTTACCAATCGTAGCTAACCAAAAATAATTACCAATGGATAATAATACAATCATTATGACTATTTATGATACATGTATCAGCATGAAAGTTCATCTGAGTTGGTAAATTACATTATGAAAAACTTAAACTTTTCTCCAACTCAAAATTTGACTCACCTGAAATTTTCGACTGACATCACACGTGGGAAAAATCACGTGTCCACAGCATTTGGGTCAGATAGCTGAGGAAGACTGAGTGATTCAGTCAAAAATTTCTGGTGAGTCAAATTTTGAGTTGGAGAAAAGTTTAAGTTTTTCCTTATGATACATGTAGTAAGTTCTGAAAGCTGTGTGAGGCCTCGATCAACAAAAGCAGGCTGAAGTAGAACTGGGATGTTGTAGCTCTGATTCCAGACCCTGAGATCAAAACTTACCCTGAAAGTACAAGAAAACAGAATTTAGTATAATAAAAGTTACAGAAGTGCATTCTAAATTAAAGCTATTACATGTACATGTACATGTACATTACAGCTTGTTTGCTGGCGGCTAGCTTCACAAAACACTGTTAAATACTCCCAGCACTCCCAGCCCCGAGGACAGACAACACTTAAGCTCCTGTCTTGTAATACAGGAGCTTTCAGACTAATTTGCATCATCTTGTCTTGACTTGTCTGACTTTTGTTCCTTTTTCGACTTCCAAAAATTTGTCTTCACTTTATTTGCATATCAATCAACAGGTTGTGTATATAAACCTGCTTTCCCCTCTGGTCTCTCAGTCACTGACGAAAGCTAGTGGATACTAGCATGAAACGTCTGACCGTTTCCAAAATCATATCCAGTTGCTTGAGTAACTGTTTTTTGGCATATCGTATTACCTGGATGTCTAACCTTCATCGACGTACTGTTAAATACTGTCCTGTTTTGAGCCTTGTGAGAAGGTTTTGCATTTCATGTATATTTCTTCATACCATATTAGATTAACATGCTTATGGCACTCCACATCATTTATGTCATGTCTCTTATGCATGAGAATCTTAAAGAATCGTTGAAGAGGTTCATCAGTCATGTAGAATTATCAGATAGTACAATATTTCTTAATCTTTTTGAAAGGTCAAAACACGTACCTCCAAATGAATCGCAATGAAGGTTGGGAGCTGCCCAAATCCTACATGTACCTACCCCTACTCTGCAAAGAGGCAGGGGAAGCCAGAAGATCCACCCAAGTCTCAACCTAGTTTCGTGTTGTCGCAAGACTAGGTCACTCCGTGATCAAGATGTACAGTCGACACCGAAAATTTGGAGGTACGTGTTTCAAGATGTACCTTTCAAAGAGTCACTGATTAAGGAATATTCTACTAACTAATCTTAAAGAGACTACAGCAAGCACAGTCAGCAAACATAGCCACAACCGTAGCTCTCAACAGGCTAAGGTGGTTTGGGCACATTGCCATAATGCCTGAAGAGCGGCTGCCCAGGTACTTACTGGATTGGAAACCAAATTATGGGTGACGCTCAAGGGGAAGGCCTAAGGAAGTCATGGAATAACTGTGTCCTGGAAGATGCTACGCTAATTACTGGGAGGCCTAGTGCCAGTGACTAGAAGAGCTAAAGGAAACAGCAAGAGATAGGAAGGAGTGGAGGGGACTGTTGAGGAAGAGACGAGTTCTGTGCGCAGGCCACTCGAACGACTGACTCGAGGAGACCTCAACATTCAAGTACAAGTAAGTAATCTTAAAGAAGAACTTACTCCTTTCAAGGCCTTGAGGACTTCCTTCCTGCCCTGTAAGACAAGTTCCCGATCTCTGGTGTTACACTTCTCATCAGCAGCCAGGTCCTCAGCTGTCCTTCCTCCCTACAGACAACACTCAGGTTAGTTCAGCATGTTATCTGTATCTGTATCTGTATAGCCGGTATAACCGACTTTCGGCGTAACACACCAGCTTCGCAGGCACGCGGCGCGGCAGCAGCTGGCTACATTACACCGAACGACTTGTTACATCTAACCCTTGAGTATCTAACTCTTAACATTGTTCAATGATAGCCCCTTCTGTACTTGGTGATGTGAAAACAATGATGTACCGGTAGTCAGGTAACCCTCCTTCCCTAGCCTCCACCCTGAGGCCTTTCTACGGGAATAGGGATTGTATATAGGGAATAGGGATAGAATTTGGCAAAAAAGGGAATCAAATTGGCCAAGGGAGTCCGGCCGCGGGGAGGTAGTTTCTATCCCTCCGAAGCGCGGCCCAGTCAAACCTACAAGGCGGCCAAACTCCCCCGGCAAATATTCTTCTTCTTCTTCGATACTCTCTAACCACCCCTACTGGGGTATCACTGAGAGGGGGGGGGGTGCGACGGACTATGGCTGCGCGGCCAGAAGCCCGGCCTTGAAGGCCTCCACTGTCTGGGCTTTTACAAGCTGGCCCGGTAACTTGTTCCACTCATTTATCGTTCTTGGAAAAAAAGAAAATCTAAAACAGTCTGTTTTGGCAGGTATTGCTTGATACTTATGTTCATGACTTCCTCTGGTACGCCTATGGGCAGGTTTGAGGTATTGTTCCATTTGAATATTAATATGTCCATGAGCAATTTTATATAAAGATATCAAGCGAGCGGTTCTCCTTCTGTCAACAAGTAACGGCCACTGGAGGCGCTTTAGCATGTCAGAAACACTGCTGGTATAGCCATAATCACTAACAGTCATTCGCGCCGCCCTTCGTTGGACTCGCTCCAACGCCTGGGAACCACCGATGGTGTGGGGATCCCAAACAGTCGCACAGTACCCCAGGTGTGGGCGTACAAGTGTTCTGTAGCATGTAGATTTGACACGAAGAGGACAGTGCGAAAGGTTACGGCGGATGACTGCCAGTATCCTATTAGCTCTACCAGTGACATAATTTATATGTGTGTCCCATTTCATATCCTGTGATAGTTGGACTCCAAGATATGGATGGGTTTTAACACTAGTAAGATTTTCTGAACATAATTGGTATTGTGTAATAATCGGGTTACGCTTACGAGTAATATGAAGTGTGTGACACTTTGATGGGTTGAAGGACATTTGCCATGTGTCCTGCCACCGGGTCAGTGCATCGAGATCTTTTTGTATTCTCCTATATATAGCCAGCGTAGTTAGTCTGGTAGAGACTATCCTTCCCCCTCTTTTCCTGAAGACTGTAGAACCTGTAAGTTTCCTCACCCCATCCTTAACGCTGACGTCAGCGCCAGCCTGCAGCAGGACAGGTACACAGGAGGGCCGGCCGTACCGGGCTGCCAGGTGTAACGGGGTGGAGCCTTCCTACAGGGGAGAGATGTACATAAGTCACACACAATGGGGTGGAATGTTTATAGCAAAGTTCTTTGATCACAACCATTTATTTTTCACAAGCCGACGTTGCCCTGATGAAGATGACAGACGGTCATCGAAACGTCGGCTTGTGAAGAATAAATGGTTGTGACCAAAGAACTTTGCTATTCATTTGTTCATACCAACCTGATGAAATTATTTCAGGGGGTGGAATGTTCTTTTACAGCTGTCATTTATCAATTTGAAGGAAATCTAAAGTAGAGACATAAGTGAAAGAAACTTATGATTGAGGTCACGACTAGAGAAGAAGCTTTTTGTAACATGGCAGGGCTTGAAATTCATTTTTGGGAATAGGTGCACTGGTGCACGCAACCAAAAAATTTAGGTGCACAAATTTTTTTGGGGTGCACCATATAAAACAAACCTAATTACAGATCTCAGCAATGGAATCGAACCCAGGACCCAAGGCTGGTTCTAGGCTGAATGCCCTACCGTTACGCCACACAACGCCACTATTGTTTTGTGTCACATCTAGTCATTCTCAACAAGTTTTGCCACTCCCACCAAAGCAAATCACCCTTTCTTCCTCCATTCACCACCTCTTAGGAGAAAGTTCCACGCTGAAAGCTTCTTTCCAAGAACAACATCACTTTGGAATAAGCTACCTCGTGATTGCTTCCCCTATGAGTATTGTCATCTGTCCTCACTGGCTGTTCTGTAACCCAAAACATTTAAGTGGCTCCCATGAGCCTTGTTTTGAGGTGACTAATGAAGTAAATTAAAAAAAATAAAAAATTCAGTTCCCTTACGTTATCGCGAGCGTTCACGTCTGCGTCCGCTTTTATCAGTTCCTCGGCCGTCCCGTGATGTCCGAACCTGGCGGACAGGTGTAGCGGTGTCAGGCTCTCCTGGAACTGAACAACAGCACGGACATGTCAGGAAATTACTGTATGTAACATTGGAACTGAACAACAGCAAGGACACGTCAGGAACTTATCAATTCATTTTGTCTTTAAAGCGATACCGGTACTGAAATTTTCTCATCTAGGTTGTCATTTTCAATAATTTTCAACATATTAGCGTTGCTATTTCGCTTTTCTGGCAACTCAGTGCAGTGTGAGAATAAGTTGCGCCAATGCCCAGTGTATTTCTGGAGGCTTCTTAAAAGATTGTAAACAAACAGTGGTATTTTGGCAGTTTTCCAACATGATTTTGTGGCACAATGACGTATGGTCTTTTACTCCCCAAATGTCATTATGACCCCAGGATAGGTGCAAAAAAAAAGTAGTAAAACAACAATGTTAAAAACTAAGTGAAAATCTTACATAATATCGCTTTAAACCTGAATGCTGTACATAGCAATGCCTAAATAAGTCTTATTACCAGGCAGTATGGCTTTAAAAATCCATAAGGATCTTTTCTAATTGATAAACTGGTTAAGAAAAAGTGACAGTGAGGATCGTCCAAAACAAAACTTAGCTTTTTTATGAATTATTGAGTTTTGGAATGCCAAAAAAAAGTAGTGTGTGTGTGTGGGTGGGGGGGGGATGTAAGTAACCCACCACAGTGGTCGCGTTGACCTCTGCCCCTGCGTGGATCAGCCATGGCACGATGACCTCATGACCTTTCTGTGCCGCGATGTGCAGCGCCGTGTAACCACCCTGGAGAAGGGAAATGTCAATCATAATCAATTACTGTCAATAACTGAATGAATGCCTTTATTCAAACTGGAACGGCCACCTCCAGAGAATGGACAGGGACAAATGGCCGAAGAGGATCCTCACACTGGATGTGGAGGGTCCAAACCCCCGTGGTCCAAACCCCCGTGGAGGAAGTGGTACGACAACATAAAGGAGGACCTCCGATCCATCACCTGAACTTAGATAAGATCAACCCACAGGACAGAGACAAGTGGCCTGCTGCTATCAAGCCCCAGATGTACTGTGCAAGCACGTCTAACCCTCGGAAGACGGGGAACAACAGACGATAAACCGGACAGTGAGTGAGAGAGAGTGAGTGGAATGCCCTACCCCTACATAATTACGAACTGTTTACGAAAACTGGGAATTAAAAAACATTATAACAATTTTTTGCGATACAACGTATTACAATTTCTCTAGCATATCAAACATTAGTAAACAACAGTTAAAGGACATGAAGGAGGTGTGGTTAAGTTACCGTTGTGGTAAGGTTGACGTCAGCCTTGGCCTTCAGAAGTTCCGCTACGATCTTCTCATGTCCTTCTCGTGTGGCCAGCTGCAGGGCCGTCTGCTTAAATTGCTGAGAGAAGCATACAGAAAAATCTGTGTTAGTAATTATCTAAAAATCTATAGTCTATAAAAAGACACTAAATCATATACTGTTGTTGGTATCCTTCTGTCTCAAGAGACAATGGAGACCGTGTCAGTCCCTACACCTGAGTGAGGAGGGTTGGCACGGTGGCCTTCATATTGCGTGGATTTGTTTAACGTGTATAACAGGTTGCAAATCTGAGACCCATACACTTGGGCATTCGTCTTCCCCAGCGGATCCATATCGAGAGAGACGTGCTGGTTCCGGTTGGGATGCTTGCAGCGAGCTGCCAGATGACTTGGTTACGCTCAATGTCTATTATATACTAACCTTACAATAAAGGAATGCAATTGCAAATGAACATAATGCACTGGGCATATATATAGGGTTTAGAACCTGAGAGCACAGAGGCATAGGTTTAAAACTTTCCTTTTTTTTATTGGTAACGGGGGGTGCCCTAATTCCATGCTATGTTCCATGCAAACGCACAGACCTTTGGTAGTAGATTATCTGACCAAAAATCCGCGCAACATGAGATATGATATTGACAGATAAAGATCACAACGATTAAAGCTGCATACATGTAGCTGTGTATTTCACTTGAGTGTAGCGGCTTGCACCCAATCGTAATGGTTCACGAAACGCACGGCAGTTTTTTTGTCATTTTGCCGGTGGAACATTCTATCGCAACAGGGGTGCCCTAATTCCGACCTAGTGTTTAACACAGGTCGATCTGAGAAGAGAGTTTAGAAATAATAATACACAAATTATGACTAAAACAATCTACTACTGTTTTCTGTCCCAAACAAGTCCTCTTTTTACGATTACGCGACTTGCTCCAAAGTGGCTGTTTGAAAAGCAAAACCTGCATTTTTGACACGCTCGTCAACCCCCGAACAAGCGTCGAATTCACACAGATTTTTCACTCGTCTGTTGTCGGAGTGTAGGAACTAAAACAAACTTTGTGAGATAACCGATATCAACACAAAAACATAGTCCATTCTTGTGATTATTTTTAGGCACGTGCTCCCATGCATAACGCCGCAACAAGGATTTTTCAAACTTGTTTGGTATTAGGGATGGGTCGGAATTAGGGCACCCCCCGTTACATGTATTTGGAAAACCTTTGCCAAACATCATGCTGCCCCAACGGCTACGGGAGAGAGTGAATGAGTGATGTATGTACACTGTACTAACAAAATGAACACCTTTCTAACTTAAACAAAACTTAAGAAGAAGAACTGACCGATCCTTTAATGTTGATGTCGACTCCTTCGGCAATGACCTTCTGAACGGCTTCAAGGTCACCGTTGTAAGCAGCCTCCCGCAAAACCTGGGAAAATTGTGGAATGATTTTTGCTGGTTTCAATCCTACCATCTTTCTAAAAATCATTCTTAAATGTTGATCTTGTTTTTTTTAAACAAGGAAAAGAACAATTTATATCATCGAGGAACAACTGTGAAAGAAAAATGTTGCGTTATGAAAGCGTACAATGTTTTGTTTGTAACATTTTGAAATATTTACATGTTGCATGTTGTATAGTTTATACTGCGTACCATTACTATTCTGGGACTTTCAACTAACCTGGTCTTTCCTTGGCATTTTTCCTGATCAGTTGTCTGTGAACTCTTCAAGTACAAGTTAGGATGGAAACTTCACTTTAGTACTGCTGCACTGGTGTTGGACACTGCCCTCTTCAGTATTTAAAACACGAAACACCTAAACATGTGGGGAGGGGGTCGAGGTGACAACGGGGAAAGACAAGAATATCCTTAAATTTGGACATAAAAACACAGTATGAGCTGAACAGGCATGGTTTTTTTTTAATTTATTTTTTATTCTGTTTTCTTTTACCAGGGTGACCCTCTCAGTGGCTACTGCACTGCTTTACAGCGGGGCCCTGGACATACTAGTACATACATTCAACACACATATGTACAAGGAACAAAAACAATGTAAACAGGCATGGTTGGGATATCATAAAGACCATTCACTCATCTAAATGTCACAATCCAGCCTGTAACTTTACTTATAATACACAACATCGCGTCTCGTAACCTAGGGAACCATGGACAGCACAGAAAAAGGGGGAAGGGGCGGTCACAAAAACAAGTTGTCAAATTCAGGAACTGTGGTCCCAAAAGGTTTCTCTTGGTTCAGAATAATACATCGTATAAAAATCTGGCTACAGGAGCAAATTTGAACAGCTCTGACCGCCGAATGTGGTGTTTATACGCGAAAAAAACTACCTTTCTTTATGCTTCGTCCATTCGTGCTCCTGGAATGGGTGAAAGTTCAACAACCCGGAAGTGATGAAGGCTGTCTCATTGTACAAAAAAGGGGTGGTGAAATGTGGTTGAAAAAAATATCTATAATATGCAACTGATAAAAGATAGATGGATAAAAAGAGCATAATAGAGTACAGATATTAAAATCTTTAATTTTTACGGCATTTTGTGGATATTTGCTGCTGTTTTGTGGAAATATTTTATTCCTTTTCGGATAAGAAATATTCCGCGCTTCCCTACCGATATCCGGATGATGCAATTTAGAAGGGCGTGTATGGAGGCTTTCAGAAGAATGCTGTGCCGATTATTGGTCGAAAAAGTAACACGTTTTACCAATTTTCTGATTCTAAAATGATAAAATTCAGCATAACAATCAAGAAGTATTAACTGACATTGACCAAAATGCCAATCGGGTCCCCTATTAGATAAAATGAAGGAAGGTATTTCCCTAAAACGTCCCCCTAAAGACCATAAATCAAAACGTCAACAACGCATTCCCTCCCGCCATTTTGGTTACCCGGACCAGTCGTTGCCTTGAAATTTTCGCCTCTTCTCGAGCCGAATTTCTCGTCTGCCGAGCCCGAATCCCGTCAGAAAAGCCCGCCAAAAGATGTCTGTGATCGCCCTGCCCAGTCTGGAGGACATGTTGGAGCTGTACGGAGCGCCAGTTCCCATGGAGACCGAATCAGACGACACTATGAGTATGATACCGTGTCCGCCGCCTCCCAGTGAAGGGTGGGTCAACTATTTATGTACTTTTAGTTTTACGATCCAGACGAGATATCAGTGTTACTGCATGAGCTAAGCAGTTCCAGTCTGATCATATACAAACCTGTGTTACCTAGTGGAATATTTTTTCGAGCGGACGAAGCCAGTTCCTATAGAAAGTTTATAATTTTTCCGCCATATTTCAACAGGGTTGTAAATAAATAGATACTAGTAAGTAGAATAAATAAATAAAGTCGTTGTAATTATATACATGTCACAGACAACTATCAGTGATAGATAAAAAAAATATGTGTTACACCCATTCATTCATTCATACATGGTTAATGGTTCATTCATTTATTCAATTTTTATCATTCATTCATTCATTCCTTCATTCATCCACCCTGCAATGTGTTACTAGTACCTGCCATTACAGCATGGGCTGTTAGGACTGAATGCCATGACTTAGTTTGTTGTTATTCATTTCCAGGATACACGACGTGAGCTTACTCATTTCACTTCGTTTATCACACGTGCTAATTCTCAAGCTGCCATATTTTGCACGCGTGCTGTACATGTTCCTCAGGCTGTCCTCATTTGGGTAACCAAAATATAGCTCTCATTTCATGAAGACTGTAAAAAGTCTGGGTGTCTTTTATTTTCAATTCTGATTGTCTTATTCCCATTCCCAGGTGGGAGGCGGCGGAGTCTTGCTCCTTCTTGAAGTCGGGCCTCAAGCAGCGGGTTAAGCGTGAGCAGCGGGTTCGCAAGTCTTCTAAGAAGCACTGAGTCCGGTAAGGAGGTGGCCACGCACACACCTTCTTTTGTTTCTGTGTTTGTTTGTTTGTTTGAGTTTTTCTTATATCTGTCATAGAAAAGAATCAAAGAAATACTGGGCCATTAAACCGTGGTCCCCTGTTCAAAATCACTGCTTGTCAAAAAGAACAATAGGTACCGTACAATGAGCCTGTAAATACTGTATATAGCATCTGTCTTTATTACGACCAGTGGGCTAAAACTTGTTTTGAGATCACTTTCTTTCTTTGTACATGTCTGTTTGCAGAGTAGGGCAGCCTGTAAAATAGTATAATGTTGATGGCTAACCTAGCTTTTTGCTGAGGTTGCTCACTAATCGTCACTATGCAACCTAGTGGAGAAAAGTATTTTCATCCCTGAAGCATTAGGAGGATCCATATCTTGCAAATATTTGGCAGGCCAAAAGAATTCATGCTCAGTAAAGTTAATACTAGATTTTAAAAAAAAACTGTGTACTTAACAAGTTTCCCACTCCGGGCCCATTTTGTTTCAGAGGCGCCAGGCCTCGCTGTCTGCACTGCACCACCCTGCTCCCCGCCGGGGCAGAATGAGCCAGCCCACCATGCAGTGCAGACAGAGGAGTGCCCCCGTGTGGGGCAGACAGGAAGTGCAGGCTGTTGCCAGAGACCCCTTTCCCCCCTGGCCGACCTTGATAGCCTCCCTTCCCTCCAACAACTAGCAGTGCTGGCCCCCGAAGATGTATATCAAGAAATACAAGCAGCTTTGTTTGAGGTATGGGCAGGAGCTTGTTTGTTTGTTTGTTTGTTTACCTCAAACTCTGTTGTAAATCAGTTTCACAAATTTGAAGTAAAAGTTAATATAGTTTAGAATCATACCTGTTTTTTTACTACATTGTACTTGGTTGATGTGGAAGATTTTTGGTGCAATGTGGTTGTTCAACATCTTTGTGTAGAAATTTGTTGCTCAGTAAACCTAGTCTGCTATAAAGTTGAGTCTACAAAGAATGACATTCTTCCAAAAGAAATACTTAATCTAGAATCTATATTATATACTCATCTGTCTGCATGTCTTTGTACCTGGCCTCTCTAATGATGATTAAAGTTGCAAACATTTCACAATTTTTCAAAATGAATGTTTATTTATTTTTGTTGTTCCTACTGTACCTTCAGAACCCCAGAATCCCACCGAATGGAGACGTCCAATCAGCACAACCCTTCACCGCAGTCAACTACTCAACTACTGAATCAGCTGACCTTTCACCCTTGTCCCCCGACCTCAATGACCTCCCCATGGATGCGCAGGACCTGTTTGGGTGCAACAACTCATTCCTCCAACTAGGCGGAAATTCGGTTCTATTCGGCGCCGATTTCTCTCCGTTTGACAAGTTTGAAGACATTCCTACAGACATGGACGCAGACACAACCGCAGATCCTTTCAGTGAAGACCAGGATGACAGCTCAGTTCTTGACCTTGGTACAGTTCTTGACATTGACCCTGGCACGGAGGAGAATGTGTGGATGTTTAGCCAACGTCTGCTATCGCCTCTGTCTTCCCCCTCCGAAATTCAGCTCCCTCCAAACCACCCTTCATCTCCAATTGTCTCTCCCACTGCACCGCCTCCACCTTACAGCATTGCTACACCCTGCCAACCTGAGGAGACACAGGCTAGAACAAATGTTTCTTTAAGAAATTGTGCCGGGCTGACGCTTCGGCAGTTGGTTTCTGCGCCACCAAACAAGCCCACCACCCCACAAGTTGTTGACCTCACATCAGACTCGCATGAGAGCCCAGTAGCCCCTCCGTTGGCTGCGGGATCCCAGAGCCCCCTCTATCCAACCCCTCCTAGCTCTGCCCAAGCCTCCCCACGGAAAAGCCCCCCTAACACCCCCTTCCACTTCCCGAGCGAGCGCAGTCCCCCCACCGAAAACTCAACCCCATCCAACATCCAGTCACAGACAGTTGAGAGCTTGGTCTCTGTAACTCCACAGTGCCAGTCCCCGGCTTCTGTTAGTATCCTGTCTCCACCTGATTCAGTACAATCCAACAGTTCCTACACCTCCAGCCTGCCCCCCTCCCCATCCACGTCAGTCTGTAGCCTCAGTTCTACAGAAGGGCTCATCCAGAGAGCAGAGAACACTCTGACAAGCGCAGAGATCAAGGCCAGAGACCAGGTCAAGATGGCGGAAGTTCAGGCCAAAACGTCGCGGAATTACCGACGGTCGCTCGCACGCTCACACGACCTGGACAAGCTGGCCGGAAATCTGGAGCGCGAGAACGGAGAACTGAGGGATAAGATCCAGAGCCTGACGAGCGAGATTGCGCTGGTTAGAAAGAACATTGTGTTAGTGATGGCTGGCAAGATGCCTGTCAAGTAGTGCTGTGTTCTCTGGACTGGTTCCGGACTTGTAAAAATGTTCAAGGAAAAAAAAAAACGTGTAAGTAAAAAAACTGATTCCGGACTTGTTACAAAAAAAAACATGTGTCACATACCCCATTTGTTTTCAAACCACCTGAAATCTTCCATAGATTGCAAAATCTGTGCTACAAAATGAAGAAAATATTGACATCGGGCATTGTCAAGTGTCGGCCTCCATGTTATGTCAATATGTGGCCACAGTTTTGCCCACACGACATTGCAAGGTTGCCAACATGCAATTTTATTTTGCCATGGGTTTAGTTCCGGACTCGTAAACTGAACCTAAACCTCTGGACTTGAATCCGGACCTGAACCTAAATGTGGGTTTAGGCACACAGCACTACTGTCAAGTGAAATGTTCTGCAATGGTTTGAATATGAGTGAATGTATACAGTTATATAGGTGACAGACTGGCTAGGAAGGGTGGGTGGGGGTAGTAGTGTTTTGATGTGTTGTAAATGATTGGTACATAAGTGTTAGACGTAGTAAAAGTTGATGTGTGTATTCAGCACTGTTTTTCAATGTTAATTTGCATGAGTGAACATGCACAGGACAGGGTGCTTATTTACTAATAATGGCACTGACAGTTGTAACAAGACATCACAATATGCAATGATGTGTTTAAAGGTTGACACTAGAATATTTGTGTGTCCAGGTTTCTGTTTGTCTCAAATAAGTGTTTAAAATTTAAAAGTAACAATTAGCAGAATATTCCTCACTCAGTGACTTGTTTTTGAAAGGTACCTCCAAATTTTCACTGATTGAGGAATATTCTTAGTACTAACTTAATTTTATGTGACTGATGAACCTCTTCAACGGTAAAAGTAACAAGATGTTTTCATATATTTCATCACATGTTTGACTCAGATGAACAAACTAGAAATAGGATTCAAAAAGAATGTAGTCGATCCTTTGCATTGAAGATTCTTGCAACTGACTGTCTCTTGTTGTACTTGATTGTTTGGGTGTGGTGTTGGTGTAACAAATGCGAAGTAATAAAACCTCAAAGCTGCAAAGGGCTGGCCACGTTTATTCTTGATCTGTGCAAACACTGAGAGATGACAACTTACACTGCACTACTACATGTACTTCTACTACCAACTTCAGCATTTTTCCCCTTTGACAGCCTGGGTGGAGTATACATGTACCTAAGTTAGTGACACCACATACCTATAGCCTCCACCAGGCCTTTCAAATACGGATCCTAGAATTCGGCAAAAAGGAGAGCAAAATTGGCCAGAGTCCCGCCACGGAAAGTTGTTTATTTCTTCCCCTAACCGCACAGCCAGTCAAACCCCAATTAAGGTGGCCAAACTCCCCTGGCAAATGTTCTATATATAGCCAGAGTAGTTAGTCTGGTAGAGACCAACACAAACACATAAAGGGGCAAGTGAAATTAGTCAAACCTGTAGTAGTGACCACCTCTTCAGATCATAGGGACCATCTGGCCATCTATAGTCCCATTAACCAGGCACATATCAATTAAAAGCAGTAATGGATTTCAGAATGGGTAACAATTAACAGACTTGTCATGAATGTTTTGAAGACTAAGAGCATGCTTTTTGGCACACCCCGTAAACTGGCTCTTCTACCTTCTACCACATTAAACCTGGTTATTGGAACGGAAAATATCAAACAGGTGGAAGAGACTGTGTTACTCGGTCTACATATGGATCAGTCCCTTACATGGAACTTGCATGTCAATGACATACTTGTTAAACAATCAAGGAACATTGCGCTTGTGCGTAGACACGCATGGGCCATGTCATTCGAAGTCTGTAAAGTTGTTGTTTGTGCAATCGTTCTATCACTTGCACAATACTGTTTACCAGTGTTATCCAATATGTCTGCTTCAAACACCCAGAAATTGCAAGTTGTACGAAACAGAGCCTGTAGAATATTGTTGTCTAGATCATTTGATACACCTGTTAAGGAGATGCACATGGAATTGGGATGGCCTTTGGTCAAAGACAAGTTTGTTATTAGCACGTTGAATATGTTCTTCAGAGTGCTATCCAGTAAGGAACCCCAAATCATATATGATTCACTTGTTCCAATCCAGTCAACCCACAAATATTCAACCAGATTTTCAGCTTCTAACAGTTTCTTGCTCCCCAAACCAAAAACAAACAGTAAAAAAAGAACATTTCAGTATCGTGCAATCGACCTTTGGAACAAACTACCACAACACATCAAATCACTGTCAAGTACATCAAACTTTAAAAAAGCCATCCGCCAACTGTTCACACAATATGAGTCCTGTGATTAGAGTGTGAATTAGTATCTTTCATTTGTACATAATGTAATAATGTAAATTTCCTCTTTATGTCATATGTGTATTTTTAACTATGTCATCTGTTGTTTGTATTGTATGATCTTTGTATGAACCCTGGAAGACTAGCCAGTTTTGGCTAAAGGGTATCGTAATAAAGGAATAAAGGAATGCATTTGTTACGTTCTATGCACATAAAAATTTGTATAGGCTTAGGTCCATGGGCACTCACATGTACATTTACACATAGTTGAAACAATGGGCAGTACTAAATTGTGAAAACTGCCGCTCTAGAAGTTGAGTAATAATATATACCCGTGGTAAGGCCGCACCAATTTAATATGTTGGTTCTCGGATTTTTTCAGAAATATGAAGCGACAGCGAAAAAAATAAAAACAGGTCTAGGTATCCTATTGTAGCCCCAAATGCTACAATAGGAGCCATGAAGTCAACACAAAAGGTCGCGTTGATATTTCAAAATTGAATTTTGACCTTTTAATCAAACCACTGCATTGATAGATGGAAGAAGTAACATCTAGGAAGAAAAGGACTTTCCTCAGCTGTTGGGGGCCAAAGATGAGCATTTTCGAGTTGATTCAGAACCAGAATTTTTATTTTTTTGCAAATCAGAAAAAAATAAAGAGGCAAATCAGAGAACCAACAAATTAATGTGGTGTGGCTTAAAGTTGTTTTGAAACCTGATCCTATTTTGTGGTCCTTCAATGATGTTTTGCTGACTACATCACGACTTTTTTTTTAGAAACAAACCAGAAACAAAGGCCCCATTCAGAAAATACACAGGCAACATTCGCACACGTTCTTTCTGCCATAGCAAAGCATGTATTTCACCAAGGCGACTTCACTCACATAACACTAGACTTTGCATAGACAAGAGACCATACACACTTCACATTGGGTGCAGGGAGATTTCGAGCACATTTGCATAGCACCACACTATTAAATACTTGCCTTACAGCTTTGCTGGTTTTCAATTTCTGCCATCAACAAAATATAGAATCTGTACATACAGTTATACATACATGTACAAGTAGCTGCTAAACAACAGAGCATTTTCATTCCCTTTCTACACCAATAAAGCCAACAAGTTTCGACTACCATGTTGGTATCTCTATTTGCATTTCGTGAATTGTAGATCGAGCATACACAGAACTTTTGTATCGACACCAGCAATTTTCTAACTTTTCTTGTATTCTGCTATTCGAGCTGTAGACAGTCAATAGCGGTTATTTGAGAGAGTCTGTACATTGTATGAGTGAACATCTTTTGATGGTTGAAACTTCCTACCACTATGATTCAACGAAATGCAAATAGAGACAACGTTTGTAGACACTCTATATCAAAGCTATACTGTCAGAATGTTGGAAAATACAGGGCACAGCTAAGCTTTTCTGAATCGGAAGACTAGTTTTTTTTTTCCATTTATATGTTTAAAACTGATATGTGTTAAACATAAAATTCATAGATAAAGCTGAAAATATGTTTCCATTTATATGTCTAAAACTGATATGTGTTAAACAAACTTCATAGATAATGCTGAAAAATGCATGAGGGATGCTTTCGAGCCCATGTACTGTGCTTTTACATGACATTGTACAGTGGCAATGAAAGGAGTCCATAATGTAAATGTACGTACTGCAACTTTGCCCTGATTATATTTTGCCTTAAACACTGTACATTTAAATAGCATATCAAATATACTGTAGTCAGCTCCAAGTTAACCCAGAGTGTCCAAAAGCTCCAAATAAACATGCAAAATTATCTTACACAAAATACTCCTCATTTTGCTCAAGATAAATAGAACTACATGTACAGTTTTGCCTTTTACGTTAAGTTATTCTTACCAGCTATCACATTTAAAGCTACTACCCTATTACAAGTTTTATCAAATTATCTGCAAGCAGTATGAAGAAAATATTTCAAATTTGTGTGACAATATTTCAAATTAGACCGCTCAAGCTTCAGTTTGTTGCAAACCAAAAATTTTGTGTGTGCCCTCAATATTTACAATCATTTGTTATTCGGCCTGAAATAATTTTTCCCTAAATAATAATCTCTATTGCACAATTACTGCATGGAGTAAAACATACAAAATGTATGACATCTACTGTTACATACCAAACATAGCTATGATGATGACTATTAGACTAATCTACATTACACGAGACTGTTGGAATATGGAATGAGGATATGTTATTACAATCATTGCTGGAATTTCTTAAATAAAACACAATTACATGACAATACACAAACCTACCTACTGGTAAACAGTGTACTTCTTTTAAATATATAGACTTCTCTGCAAATTCAATTCCTTACTGAGGACAAAAAAAAAAAACTTGGTTTGATGGGGATGAAGACAAAACAACATAGTATTACAATTATTATCATGAAAGTTCATCTGTGTTGGTAGTTACATGTTTAGAGTTAGAACTTTAGATCCATCACAAAAAAAAAGTTCTCTCGCTTAGAGCTTTCGACCAGTCACTCTGACTGGTCTGCCTCAGTAGACATCGTCTACCGGATACCTTTGACCCAGTGTTGACGTCACACTTCAAAGAAGCCACGTGACAAGCCTCACTGGGTCAGTCTACTGAGGAAGACCAGAGTGACTGGTCGAAAGCTCTAGGTGAGAGAACTTTTTGTGTTGGATCTAACATAAAAGTTTTAACTCTATTAAAACACATTACAATTATTGATAGCTCCCGTTCCAAGTGTACATCATAACATTGCAGAATGATATTGCAAAGTTAAAACACTGTTGATCTATAACAAAGATAAATTCTATAAGACTTCCTTAATTTTGTTTTCCTGTATCATATACAGCCTGTACATATATTGAAAAAGGGCAGCTTTTTTTCAATCTCAAAAAATTTCTGCAAATCTCACATTTGCGTGTGGGTACTTGATCTTCAACGTTGAACGAAATGTCCAGAAAAGCACAGTCGGCAATTTGCCTATAACAAGAATATGTTACACAAGCTCTTACATGACAACCTTTTGGCCTAATTAGTCCCACTCAGCCTAACAAGGACATGTTTTACAAGCTTGTACGCCTTTTTCCCGTTCTGTGTATACATGTGGGAAGCAGCCAACATACATTTAGCCCCTTTAGGCCACACCAATTTAATTCTATGGATGACATCTGCACGCACTGATCTAAAAAAAAAAGATTACCTCCTCTGTGGCTCTGGCCTGGCTCTAGGCCTGGGTAGTCCATGGTAGTTAGCGACAATACAGAGCCAGTGGTAACTCTGGAGGATGGCACCCAGGCTGCCGAAGCTCCACGACTCAAGAACATACATACAGTGCCAATTCTTCTTATTATTCCGAAAAAAGCCGGCATGCATACATCGCTATGTACTGCTGCAAATTTACAATACCAGCTTTGTATTCCTGTGGTTTTGTAGCATTTTTATTTTGGACCGGATTTTTTTTATTCGCCCGCGCGCACTAGTTTGGGGGTCTTCAGAGGATGTCATCCATAAAATTAAGTCGGTGTGGCCTTACTACCGTCATACATTTACCCCTTTTTCTACTAAAGGCTCAGACTACTGAACAACCAAAGATTTGACAAATTGCACATCGATTTTCATAACTAATGATTTTCATAACTAATGATTTTTTCAATATTTGTGGTTTTGTCTTTCTAAATAATTACTTTTGCGTCTTGCATCCTATCCCAAAACAGGCCACAGACCTGAGTGTGGTCTACTGGTAAGACGAATAAATTTGAAATGCAAAAAAAAATTGAAACTAAATAAGGGTCACACAAATTAAATTTTGGTTGCACAATGATTATTTAGCCTTTGTCATCTAGTGAAAAGGGGCCACCTAAACTAACACACTGCACACAGAATAATCTCATTTGGCGCAATTTCAAACAACCAGTGACGGCTTACTGCGCTGTACTGCATTTTATGCACAGGCTTCATTGTACATCTACACATTCTCACCTATCCCTTATCCCTCTACCTTAGGCCACACCTAGTCAATTTGTTGGTTCTTGGAATTCTAGACTGGAAGATTGATAAGAAAACAGGGTCTGAGAAAGTTTGTACCTCAAAATGGTTTTAGGGAATAGATATAGCTAGCCTGGATGCCAGACCTATAGAACGCTAGGCCCAGAGTTAGTCAGAATGTACATGTAGACGACGGTCTAACTGGGGGAGGGGGGTGGGGGTAGTATAATTTTCTTGGGCAAATGTTGGCCCTGGAGCCAAGGAACTGGCCTGTGTAGGCCTTGGAAACAGTCTGGCACCAGGCTAGCATGTTGGCCCTGGAGCCGAGGAGCTGACCTGTGTAGGCCCTGGAAACAGTCTGGCACCCAGGCTAGCATGTTGGCCCTGGAGCCAAGGAGCTGGCCTGTGTAGGCCCTGGAAACAGTCTGGCACCCAGGCTAGCATGTTGGCCCTGGAGCCGAGGAGCTGGCCTGTGTAGGCCCTGGAAACAGCCTGGCACCCAGGCTACAACATAGTCAGATGCCAGATTTCCTCTATATAACTTGTCCTCTTCATACATTTTTATTTCAAATGTCCGAGAACCAACAAAATGAATCAGTGTGGCCTGATTGCTTGTATCTATTCCAGACAAGTCTAAACAGATATCGCACAGTTCCCTTGATGCTCGAATCAGAATTTTACACATTTTGACTTACATTTGTATCTATACTAAATTTTTTACGCTTGACCACATCTATGTTACAATTTTGGAAGCCTTGGGCTGATCTGATCTACTAAACGATGCACTGTCACAGTTTTACTGTAGTTATTAATTCTAGCCAGGCTTTAGAGAGGCTCTTTGTAGCATTTGGACAATGTCCGACGTCAATTTTCTTAATATATTGTCATATATTATGGGTAAGATCAATCAACCAGGGTAGGGGTTTGGGGGTTGGGACGAATCCCCCACAAGGCTCAAAGGTCCACTTTTTGGTCCACTTTTTATCTAAAGGTCCAAGATTTTTCTTTAAAACATCGACTGATTCATATCACCAGCAGGGCTGGAATTGTAGAAAAATTGTAGTAAAAAGAAATCCTCTCAAAAATGCAGGAAATGCCATTTCAGAAGGTTAATTTTTCAAAATTTTCAGGGGGAGCATGCCCACGGACCCCCCTACGAACCTCTCACCTACCGCGCTCGAGGTCCCCTCAAGCAGTGGGAAGAACCCCCCATTCAAAATCCTGGCTACGGGCATGCTTACAGTACTGCATTTTAATTAAATAGTGAAATTGTGACGCCATATTGCACTGTACAAAAAAAGGCGTTTAAGAGCAGCAATTTTCTAACATGGGCCAGAGCTGTCAGCAATATCACTGTCTATACCAAGCTTATTTTTTGGTGCCACCAAAAAAGTTTGGACCCAGCGCCACCTACTTTTGAGCAAATTGCATTTTCCATAAATGCCAGAAATAGATAACAGTGATGCAAAATTATTATGTCCCAAAAGAGGTTATAAAAGGGGGTTTTGATACTTTCAGTTCTGCTATTTTCAGTATGAGTGTGCCATAGCCCAAATCTTACACGGAGCCCCTTTAAGAGCCGCACACGCAGCACTAGCAGAGCACGTCAGCAGAACGTACTGTGTCTGTGCAAAACCCTAATTTTTCATGGTTTTCGTTGGATGTTTGGTCAATGTTGCATCAGAATTTTGCCTGTTGCAGACAGTAACATTTGGAAACTACAGACGGGACGTTAACCTTATAACGAATACAACCTTATATGAGACATTCTGCCGAAGTGCTATATTATGTACAATACATAACGGGCAGTGTGAGAAATACCCATCTGCAGTCTGCATGCATCTTTATGCTGCATTTTACTACTGTTTATTGTTCATCGATTGTATTGTATTATGTGTTGATTGTAACAAACTACCCAATTCAGGGAGACTTGTGTCTTTCCCTGCATATGTATGTTTGCGGTTGGAAAACCAATAAAGACGTCGTATTTAAAAAGGTATTTCTACGCCTGATTACGGGTTTCGCGCCGGTGCAGTACGTTCTGCCGACGCGCTGACTAACTCTTACAAGCTAGCGTCAGTGCTGCCAGAGCTTGAGTGCGTTGAGTAACCGGAGAAGCTGACCAATCAGGACGAACCACACGTTCCGCGCGGCTCGGGACCGGCCAATCAGGACGCGCCAGGCGATCACCACGGCGATGAACTTCAGCACGTACTGGATACGCGTCACTCTGGAGGGGACACAAACACGAGCGTGAACTATTTTGCAAAGTAAATGCTTAATGTTTAGGCCACAGCAAGTAATTTCTATGGATGACATCAGCCCACGGACTAATTTTCGCCTGGTTTTGGTAAAAAAAGAAAGAAATTTTGTTGCCTTCAGACAGTGGTCAACATGCAGAAATGGGCAAAGATGTCTGTTGCCATGCCGGAAGGTGGATGGCAGATATCTATGAAGAGAGGAGACAAGAAAAGGCCCTGATTTAATGTTTTGTTTCTTACTTTGATGCAGTAATATGCCTGGTCCAAGTCATTGACCTCAAACACAGTCAAGCAAACACGTCACACAAACAGATACACCAAAACCCAATCTTTATACACAGAGATGCTGACACCTTGGAAGTCAGATTCTGTAGGATGAAGGGGTTACCTCAACGATGAAATTAATAAGTAGATAAATAACCAACAGACCTTTGTATGTATCTCCGACATTCGGGGATCCTACCGACGTCTTCTTTCAGCACGTAGCGCTTGGCTCCGATCAGGTAATTCTCCATGTACTGGTCCCAGTCAATTGCAGACACGTCAAAATTAAACAACTGCAGAAATAATGTGGGGAAAATGGTCTGTACATTAGATTCAGAATGGAACAGCTTTGTTCATGTAATACCACTAGTGATCTACAAACTATGCCATGCCTATCATCATCATCATCATGTCAGGCATCTTGCACGGACCGAGTTAACTCTCTCCCTCCAGACAGTTCTATCTGCCATTAGCTGCTCAAGCTGTCATGCCTAACACTCTAGAAATTTTAACTACAAGTGCTGAAAAACAAACAAAACTTGAAATACAATTCAATTCTATGTAATCCAGAATCTATGTATTGAATGTATTACAACAAAGCACCTGTTCATCCATTTCTTCATTCATTCATTCGTTCGTTCGTTCGTTCGTTCGTTCGTTCGTTCGTTCGTTCATTCATTCATTCATTCATTCATTCATTCATTCATTCATTCACTCATTCCTTCCTTCCTTCCTTCATTCTTTCATTCATTCATTCCTTCCCACCTTCCTGTCCTCCTGGCTGAGTTGCCGCTGCAGCTTGATGACGTTGGTGTTGGACCAGTCCCACCCCCTGCAAGTGAACCAGTCCAAACTCTCCAGGGACTTGTGCAGCTTGTCGTACAGACGGACCATTCTATTGCCAGAAAATAGGGGGGTCAATGATATCATGTGTAGCTTCCAGATACACAACACTGGCACAATAGCAATCCTCTTGACTGGTAAACTTTGTAAGTTTTTTTTTACCCTTCTCAGGAAATAGTCTTGTTCAATGGACATTTTGTTTCACTGGACATTGTGAGAATATTGGACACAGTATTTCTTGAGAGGGGTGAAGGAGGCCATGTACATCCAGGACCCATCACCCTTCACTCAACCGCGACGGGGGCCGACATCGCCTACCAGATGTCACACTTCAAAGAAGCCACGTGACAAGCTTCAATGGGTTAGTCTACTGAGGAAGACCAGAGTGATAAATGATAGTATACAATGTACATCGTCAGTTGTCCAGATTGTCTCCAGCATTGATGTTTCTGACTTAAGGTGGTACATATGGGTGCCTGAGGACTTTGGGGACATCAAAGAGATGCTGTTCCAGTAACATGAACTTAGTTTAGTTCCTAGAAGTGGTCTCTTTATTCTTTAAATAACTACTCTTTTTACTACACTTTGCACCTTCCTTAAACAAAAATACAGAAATCCCCTACCCTATCCTTCTTACCTGGGTTTCTTGCCCATTGCCCTGAACAGTACGTCACTGATATACGCTGGGATGAGGTGGGTAATCGGGACCCAAAGTTCATGCCACCATCTGGGGTCAAAAGTCAAAGGTTGCAGGTGTCAAATACAACATACATGACAGTGTACCATAAATATAGATAATATGATTTTAAGCAAACAGACTTTTTTCTTTTAAATCTTCAGCTCACATACATATACAGTATCATCATTCTCTGTCTGACATTTTTATGTGAAATTTTGGTAAGAGCACATCATGAAGAATAGTTGAAAGAAAAACTTGAATCTTTAACTACATTGTATTGTTCTTCAAAACTTGAAAGTATGTGTACTGGGGTACAGACTCATGTTGACCTTCCAGTTTACCAAAGACTAACAATTTAAGACATAATATTACATTACCTCAGTCTATAACAAAAACTGGTTGTAAAAGACTTTCTATAGAAATCACAGATCTAGAAAACTGAAATGGCTTGGCCATGTATTGAGAATGGATGACGGAAGGATTCCTAAAACAGCCTTAAATTGGAGACCTGAAGGGAAAAGAAAAAGAGGCCGACCTAAAACCACCTGGAGAAGAACTGTGCCAGATGACCTGGCGTCTATGGGACTGTCCTGGTGATCAGTGAAGAAGGTGGCCGAGGACAGACCCAGATGGAAGGGAAAAAGCCATGGCCTTATGCCTTGCAAGGGATAAAGAGGAGTAACTACGACTTAGTATTACATCTACCTCTAGAGCCATCTTACCTGTGCATGGTGAATTGAGCTCCTTTCGGGGGGATTCTGAAGGGTTGTTCTAAGGGCCTCTCCAGGTAGAAGTCTATGGTTTTTGTCGCTGTAGAAGAAAGGGGAAAACAATTAATAATTATGTACATAGTAGCCCTCAAGATGTGCTACATTTACATCATATCTAATTTTGAAATCAATGGTCACACAAATCCTATTTTGTTGCTGTACAATATGGTCGTCGTCTACTGGAAAGTGAAAGTGATCTCGAGCCAGTTTAGCTCACTGAAGAGCTAATCTTCCACTGGTCGTGACAGAGAAGACAGACGCTATGTACAGTATTTACAGGTTCATTGTACTGGGGAAATTCCCCTAGCTCTTTTCGACGAGCACAATGAACAGTGGACCGCGGCTTAACGTCCCGTCCTAAGGACTGCGATCCTAAACAGTAGCGTGCATGTCGGGTGAGCGACATCAGCTGGGATTCAAACTCCCAACCTGAGTATCTACTGGAAAGAGGGCCTCAATAAAGAGTGATTTTCCCTATATACATGTACTGACCTATTTGTCCCCAGCAGTAAGGGTTGATGTTTCCGGTGGTGCAGTTGTAGATCTGAGTTTCTCCTGACCTGCAGGGAAAAAGTACAAACATGTCAGCCTGGGAAGTCACTGGACATAAACTGGTTAGTCATCTAGTCAGCTGGTCAAATGGCCAGGTTACGAGAGCAAGCAAACCAGTTGTACAACAAATCTGTTCAAGAAATGATCTAATACAAAATCGTCAATATTTCCTCTCAGTCTGTGAAATATTTCATTAAGTTTTTTTTTGTTCAAATTGTTTCTTTTATTTATTGTGAATTTCTTGCTGATTCTAATTCTTGTTGACAGACATACAGACACACAGACAGACACACACACACACACACACACACACACACACACACACCAAAAACAATACCTCCATTTTCCATGGAGGTAATAACATCCCACTGGCATGCTTTAACTGCAAGAAACTGAATACAGGAAATGATATACATGTAACCTTTTCTTGGACCATTCACCTAACATTTTAGCAGTGATTGTCCGTGATTATAGGAACACAAACAAACAGGCACACTGAAAACAGAACACACACACAGGTAGTGGTAGTGAGTTTTGTCTGATGCTAACTAACCCCTTGACAGCGATGTACCAGGCAGCAGCGATCATCAGGTTAATGGGCACGTCAACAGGAACAATGTCGGCTTTCGCCTCAGGATCTCCGTGCATGGTCCGCAATATTCCCTTTCCAATCTGAAACAGATACAGTTATGCATTGTTACAAAATAATAATTATGAACATTATTGCGGAACAGTTGTACAGTGTACAAAGTATGGCATCTACTAATTTAAGTAAGTTCATATAAACTACATTTTCATCAGGCTAATCTGATACAAAAGTGGGTGGCTAGTATGAGATAGGTATCAACTTATACAATCGTTGGAGGAGTTTCTAATATCCATACAGTCTTTAATATATATCCCTATGTATAGCATGTAGGGGTTGTCACAAGTCAATATGTATTTAAATTCTCCTTTCTAGTTCATTGTGACAGTGGTAAATGCTGGAAAAGAATCTGATAGCTTAGATTAGTTACTTAATATATATAATAAGTTGTGGCAAACATGAATGCAGGATGGTGAACTTTCTACAATGATGTCAGCTTGATGTCAATGCCATAACAATCCCACCCATTCTAATCTTCTGAAGCTGCAGTGTTCACCCAGAAAAGCTGAAACAGCCTTCTTGACTGGATGGAGCTGATACAACTAGCCTCAACCTTAGAAGTAGGAACTAGAAATTACTGTAAAAAGAAGGCAACTTACAGCGATGAAGATTCCTGTTGGTCCGTTGAAGTTGTCCACCCAACCCTGGGAAGAAATGGCAACAAAATTGAAGATTCACAACCTTAAGTTACAATGATCATAACACTTATGATTCAGAACTTTAGAGAAGCCTCCTGGATGAACAACAGATAAACTTTGACAAACTTGCACCTATTTCCTCACTTGACTCTGGTAAAATCAAGCTTTGACAAGGAATGGAACATAAAGCTTATGTTTGAGAAGAGCCATACGAACCTCAAAGATCCTACACCATTTATTGAAAAGAGCACTGTGGTACTTTTGGTGTGAGTGGTACTAACCTTACAGTGTGGTCTTACACAGCATACTTAGTGTGGGTGGATCAAACCTTACACAGTCTGTACTTACATATGTACCCTATGTGGCATACACCATCATTCGCATATACATATATGTATAGGACTGTTCAGTCAAAGCTGTAGGGCTGAACATGTACAGTCCTATACAAGAACATATTTACCATGGTTACAACAACTTTACTGATACTCCCATCATAGGGCTGCAGCTGATTTACATCAATTTATCTGTCACATGAAACAGACAACAGAGAAACACGTACGGGCAGAGGTTCCCTCCATGTAGCTGTGACTATCGAGGGTCGTATGATGGCGAGCGGCACGTGACCTCGCTGCTCCAACAGCAGGTTCTCAGCGATGCCCTTGGAGAAGGTGTACGTGTTGGGGTGGTCTCGCACAAGGTCAGGGGTGATCGTGGACACCATGTCATCATCCATCCATCTGGGGGGAAGAAATAATCAATAATAATTATCGATAATTATCAATAATTATCAATGATATAGCTACAGTGTTGGGGTGGTCTCGCACAAGGTCAGGGGTGATCGTCGACACCATGTCATCATCCATCCATCTGGGGGATCAATAACTATCAATAATTATCAATAACTATCAATAATCATCAATGACATAGCTACAGTGTTGGGGTGGTCACGCACAAGGTCAGGGGTGATCGTGGACACCATGTCTTCATCCATCCATCTGGGGGATCAATAATTATCAGTAATTATCGATAATTATCAATAATCATCAATGATATAGCTACAGTGTTGGGGTGGTCTCGCACAAGGTCTGGGGTGATCGTGGACACCGTGTCGTCATCCATCCATCTGGGGGATCAATAATCAATAATTATCAGTAATTATCGATAATTATCAATAATCATCAGTGATCAATAACTATCAATAATTATGTATGATATAGCTACAGTGTTGGGGTGGTCTCGCACAAGGTCAGGGGTTATCGTCGACACCATGTCATCATCCATCCATCTGGGGGATCAATAATCAATAATCATTGATACCGGTAACGATCAATAATTATGTATGATATAGCTACAGTGTTGGGGTGGTCTCGCACAAGGTCAGGGGTTATCCTCGACACCATGTCTTCATCCATCCATCTGGGGGATCAATAATTATCAGTAATTATCGATAATTATCAATAATTATCAATGATGTAGCTACAGTGTTGGGGTGGTCTCGCACAAGGTCAGGGGTGATCGTCGACTGTCATGCCATGTCGTCATCCATCCATTTGGGGATCAATAATTAGTAATCATCAATAACTATCAATAATGATCAATAACCAATGATAAGGCATGAGGTGTCAGTTCTGGGGTACTGATGAAGGCTAACTATAGATAGTGAATGCTTTCTCAAATGTCTAGATCTGACATTTTTATCCCGTTTCTTGGTTTGTTTTGCATTACGTCATGTTCAACATTTACTATATGCATTGGTTAACAGTTGTTTGGATGACAATCACTGTTTGGTACCAATGTGAAGAGGGCAAGACACAGCTTTCTTCCTCCATTCTCCACCTCTTAGGAGGAAGTTCCACACTAAAACCTTCTTTCCTAGAACAAATTGTCACTATAGAATAAGCTATCACGTGATTGTTTCCCATACACTCAGGTATAAGTCCTTAAACTTTTCAAGTCGAAGGTCAACAAACATCTGTCCTCACTGGCTGTACAGTAACCCATAACATTTTAGTGGCTCTCGTGAGCATTGTTTTGTGTTGAACCATGGAGTAAATATAAAAAAAAACACCAGCATACTCACTCTATACAGTCGAGCAGCTTCTGTGGATGAACGCGGGGAGGGTAGACGATCTCCTCTATAAACTGTCTGTTACAGTAGGCATAGGCAGTGGACACGTGGATAAACGCCTGGGGAACATAGCAGAAACAACAGTTTCATCAGGTTGGTAAGACACTGAGACACTCAGTAACATTCTGAAACAGCTGAGGGACCTTTGAAAGACAAATGTTTGACAGATCGCTAAAAGAAATTCAAAGACAAAGAATTTTTTTTCATACATTTTTGTGCATTTTGTTGTCTTTCAAGTATACTTATACTTTTAAGTATACTTATACTTTTAAGTATACTTATAATTTTAAGTACACTTTTTGCATCATATTCCAATTATAAAATCAACAAATCACAAGAATCCAATTTTGGTCCATGAATAGTCACTCAGCAACCACATCTTATTACTAGTGAAAAATAGTTTTACAATGCCATTATGCTATTAAATGTATGTAGTATGTGTAGTTAAACATGGTTAGGACTGGTCCATTCATTCAAGACATGCTCTTTCTTATCCAGACACTTTAAGGAACGACTCTGGGTATCTTGGCAGTCGTCTTAGACATGCTGGTCCCTGGAAGGAAGGAAGGATGAGTAGAGTGGGGAAAGAAGGACATGCAGGTGAGAGAGGTGTCCTGTGAAGTGAAGCAGGCAAGTGATATTGTACTATCATGAAGGTTCATCTGTGTTGGTTAACGTGTTTAGAGTTAAAACTTTAGATCCAACACAAAAAGTTCTGTCACCTAGAGCTTTCCACCAGTCACTCTGGTCTTCCTCAGTAGACATTGTCTACCAGATACCTTTGACCCAGTGTTGACGTCACACTTCAAAGAAGCCTCAGTGGGTCAGTCTATATACTGAGGAAGACCAGAGTGACTGGTCAAAAGGCTCTAGGTGAGAGAACTTTTGTGGTGGATCTAAAGTTTTAACTCTAAACACGGTCAGGTGATATTGTGTTTGTACGTTCGCTCAAGGGGCTAGACTGTGTTAAAGTCAATCTACACAGTCAATCTTTAACTTTGTATTAACCCTTGTCCTGCTGGCAATTTTTACATAATATTTTCAAATAATTTCATGTCTTAATCAGGTCACAGACCCTTGACTTTTTTTGGCCCGCGGTGGCGTAGTTACTTCCGCATTCGTTGCGTTTCGCTGCGGTGTGATGCGTTGCACGAGAAACACCCCCAAATCGTACATATACAGGGCACTATATAGATGGTACTGTATGTGCAACCCATATATATATGGGCTCCGCAGGACAAGGGTTAAGGATATAAGACAAACACATTAAAAAATTTGAAGTCAACAAGTTTTAGGCTTGTTAGTGGTGTTAAAATCTGAAAAGAAAAAGTATCTTTTGTTTCCCAAGCATTGAAATTAAACAGTGCACACTACTAGCGGACCAAACCACTTGAAAAACGGGGGTACCCATAAGGCCAAACATGCGTCAAACTGTGTGGAGGGGATCCAGCTGCAGTTCACCCGAAAGATGCCAGATGTCCCCACTTCACAAGTCGGGCAGCAGAGAGCAAAGAGGAAGCAGCGAAGTGAGAGGAGCAGACAATTGACAACAGCATCACAGGAAAAAAAGGTTCCACTAGTGATAATCTAATGCATTAGGGTTGCAAACATGAATGTCCTGAATATAAAACACTGTAATCATGGTACTCATGTGACTGTAACGTAAGTATTGTCGGCCATGTTGCATGGTTACACCAGGAAACTACCAGATTCGTGTATGTATGTACAGGCCAAGACTAACCAATTACACATTTGTAGTTCTTCATACAGCCAACTGTCTTTCATACTATAGAAATAAAATGTCAGCCTATGAGGATTCATATTAGCCTGGGTGCCATCCAATTTG